GGAGAGAGACAGAGAGAGACAGAGAGGGAGGGAGGGAGACAGAGAGAGACAGGGAGGGAGGGAGGGAGGGAAAGGTCCCCCAGGCTTGGCCATCCTGCACCCCTCTACCCCGCAGCCTGCAAACCCTGGAGATGAGCATGGCTTAGCTTCGCCTCTTGCCCGGCATCGCCTGCCTCGGCCCCAAACGCTGTGGGAGTGATGGCACGTTCTGTGGAGGCAGCAGGAAGAGGGGGAGGCTGGGAGGGGCTGGGCTGCTGGGAGTTTGGACAGCATTCTAAGGCCTAAGGGAGCCATGAAGGGTTGTAGAGGGATGGCATGGCATAGCTGCCGATTCAGAGAATTCCCTCCTACTGATGCAAGGAGAGTGGAGTGGAAGGGGCGAGACTCGGGGCTGGGGGACCAGTGAGGAGACCATGGCAGTCATCAAAGGGACAGAAGACGTTGGCCTGGACCCAGGTGGGGACAGGCATGGTGGAGAGGAGAGGAAGAAGCTGGGATCCAGTTTGGAGGTGGAATCGGAGGGACGTGCAGATGGACAGGAAGTGTGTGTGAGTAAAGGGGGAGTGGAGGCCTGAAAAAGCCCCCCGATGGGACAGCCAGGGGGGCCCAGAGGCAGTTAGATCGTGTGAGCAGTGACATCAGCTTGGACCAGGGAGGTGGCAGTGGGGCCTGGGAAGAGAGCTGTTGAGGGTGGAACCCAAGGCCCTAGAGACTGTTGGGATGGGGTGAGGGGTGTGCAGGACGAAGCCCAGAGAGTGACCTTGAAGGTATTATGCCCCCAGGATGCAGGTCAAGAGCCCAGCCCTGCCTCTCCACGTCCCTGAGCTCCAGTATGCAACGTGTGGAAAATGGGCAGCTGATTCTGACCTCCATGGGGGGCTGCGAGGAGTCCACAAGGTAACAAGCTGAACCCCCAGCACATAGTAGGTGCTCAGGAAATAAGGGGGGCCATGGGGTGAACTGTCCCCAATACCACAGCAAGTCAGACTCACAACAGAGCTCATCCGGGCTGATCTCTGTGCTCAGGCGGGGCTAGACCCCGCCCCTCTCAACACCCACACCTTCGGCATCCACTCCCAGCACAAGCAGGCCCACTGGGGGGCGGGCCAGCCAAGGCGTGGGGCAGCTGACTCTTACCCAGTGGTGGTCCATGGGTTATCAGGATGTCTACGCCTTCGGGAATGAGGTTCCATTTCTCTAGCAGTGCTTGGCCTCGAGGCAGGTTAAAGCCCCAGCCATAAAACCAGGGCTGCCTATGGAAGAAGAGCAGGCAGTTCAGAGAGGGCCACTGAGAGAGTGGGGTGGTCACAGGAAGGGGAAGCAAGTCGCAGTGCCAAATGGTCATCAGGACAGGCTTGATGCCTAGAAGCTCAAAGTAAAGGTAGGGATCGCCTGGACTTAGCCAGAATCCTGACCAACTCACGGGCTGTGGGATGTCCCTGGCATCCTCTTCTCTTTTTCCCTTCTTTCAACACAGTTTCTGTTTTTCTAGGATGAATAAATATTATTTCTGTGAGTTTTTAAAAGGAAAGTTTAAAAAGAATCAGCTTCAGCCAAAGACCTCTCTTGCTCCAAGCTCCTCTAAGGAAATTCAGAGAAGAACATGCTCACCCGCCTTCCTGCCCACAGTTGGGGCATGTTGAGACCCAACCCAGAGAGAATGGCTTCCAAGTGGAGGATGCTGATTCCTGCTTTCCCCTGAAGCTCCCAGCCAGGCTGAGTCTATCCCCAGCTCTAAGGGCAGGGCCAGAGGGACCTAAGCCAATTAATGGAATCTCAACTCAGACCTAGACTGAGCAATGCAAGTGATTCCCTTGGATTGACTCAATGGTGAACATGTAACCTAGATCCTTCCCATTGGTGAGAATCCCAGATATTTCTTCTTTTGATGGTGAGAGAAGAGGATGCTCTCATCCCTGCATATCAACCAGTGAGCTTCTTGCCTTGGAAGCTGTTAACAGCTATTGAGCTGTCCCAAAGGGCAATGGCTGGACCACATTGCCCAGGGTAGCCCACTGGATCAAAACTGCACCAGTCACCCACCATACCTCTGCACTTCTCAGTTATATGGGCAACATAAAGCCATTTGATTGGGCTTTCATTTCTAACCAAAGCATCCCTACTATGAATCTCCCTTGGGCCTAAGTCATTATAAGATCCCACGTTAACATAGTCCTTTAGTGTTTACAAAGTCATCATCATCATCACTACCACCATCATCATCACCATCATCATCACCGCCATCACTATCACCCCCAGTATCACCACCATCATCACCATCACCACCATCACCATCATCACCACCACCATCACCGTCCTCACCATCATCACCACCACCATCATCATCGCTGTTATCATCACCATCATCATCATCACCATCATCACCTCCATCACCATCATCACCACCATCACCACCATCACCATCATCATAATTGCCATTATCACTACCATCATGATCACCACCATCACCATCATCAGCACTATCACCATCACCAACATCACTATCGCCACTGTTGTGGGTCAAATTGTGTCCTCCAAAATCATATGTTGAAGTATGAAGCCCCAGGACCTGTGAATGTGACCGTATTTAGAAACAGGGTCCTTGCAGATATAATCAAGTTCAGATGAGGTGATACCAGATTAGGGCGTGCCCCTAATCTAGTGACTGGTGTCCTTATGAGAGGGTCATGTGAAAACACAGAGATACAGAGAGAAAAGGGCCATTGACAATGGAGGTAGAGATCAGAGTAATGTTGTCTACAAGCCAAGGAGCACCAAGTACTTCTAGCCACCACCAGAAGCTGGGAGAGGGGCACGAAACAGATTCTCCCTCAGGGCCCTCAAAAAGGACAAACATTGGTGAAACCTTGATCTCAGACTTCCAGCCTCCAAACTGTGAGAGAATAAATGCCTATTGTTTTAAGCCCCCCAGTCTGTGGTGATCAATTATGTGGCCCCAGGACATCGATAGAATCAACATCACCACCATCACTATCATCACCCTCGTCACCTCCCCACCTGTCACCTCAGGGACCTTCACGCCAGCAGCGAGGGTGGGCAGATGGGTCTCTTTCTTTCTGTTTCATGGATGAGGAGATTGAGAACAGAAATTATCACCTGCATTTCCCACATACCTACCTTTTTGTCAGGTGCCATCTAAGTACATCATAGGGATGGTTTACCTGTTACAAGAACCCTGTGAATTAAGGACTAAGAGTATCCCCATTTTACAGACGAGGAACCAGAGGCTCAGAGAAGTGAGCTAGCCTGGGATTTGGGTGTGCTGACTCCTGGGCTGGGCACCTCATTACCACTCACCTCCAGCACATACTGTCCAAGTCAGCAGTGGGGCTGGGCTTTCATCTTCAAGGTCTCTCTCACATGCCCAAAGCTGCCACTAAAATCCCTCTCATGGCGCATATGCCCTTTGTGGCGAGGCTGAGACCTCTGGCTGTTGACCCAATGGCTCTACCTGTTGGCAGCCACCCAAAGCACCCCTTTGGAACCCCGGGCGTCTCACGGAACACCATTTGAAAACCCTGATTTAGTCCCACCATGGTACCTTCTGGATAAGAAGACGGAGGTTCAGTGAGGGGCAGTGAGGTGCCCAGGGTGGGGCAAGTCATGTTTGAACCCAGACCTGACTCTCTTCCCTCAGCCTGCATGTCTGCAGTGCCATCTTCTGGAACATGGATTTGTGAAGGAGGAAGATGGGTGACCACGGTGGCTGTTTGGGGGTGAAGAGTCCTTCTGCCATCTCAAACACTTGCAGAATCCCCTCCACCGCTAGCCTTGCTCACCTGGGACTCCTGCCAGGAACGCCGGTTCCCTCCTTTTCTCCTCCTGCTCACCCCTGACCTCACACCATGTTTATCCTTCAAAGCCCTGTCTGCCCCAATCTTCCTCTCACCTTGCGTGCCCAGCACCAGCCCAGAGGAGGGGAATAAAGGAATGAATGAATGAACCCGAATGAATGAATCCATGTGTTAACAGATGTCAAATAGGACTTTTCTGTTGCCTAGGGATCGCAGCCAAACCTTTAAAGCTGAGAATGATGCCCCATATTCAAAAGAGAGCCCCCAGCTACTGCCGAGAAAAACTTACTAAAAGTGGGCAGAGCACGCCAGGCCACCATCTCCCCAAGCCCCTGCCGGCCTAAGTTTTGGCCTTGAAGAAGAGGGCTGTGGCTCCTGCCTTGTTCTTATAGGGGGAGCTGAGAAGATTCTCTCATACTTAGATATGAGTGGGCCCCAGGAGAGCCACCTGTACAGGTGGGGGCCTGGGATCTGCACTCTGAGGCTCTGGGAGGAGAAACAGATGGTAAGAAACAGTCACAGAGGGACTGTGAGCATCCCCAGGTTTGGGCTGTCCAAGGGATCCCCAACCGTAGGAAGTACCTGCCAAGTGAGGAGACCAGGTGTTCGGGGCTGGGGAATAGCATCGGGGTAGGTTGGCCTGGGGACAGTCCCCTCAGAAGACCTCTCCTATCACTGGCACACCCACATCGGCCAGCCTGCACATGCACAACCACAGAAAATGCACCCCCCAAACATACACAATTTTACACCCAACTTCAAGGCAATCTTGAGGTCAGACAGACCTGAGTGAGAATGGGTCCACCTCTTACTACCTGTGTGACCTATGGCAAGTAACTCAACCTCTCTCTATGCCTCAATTTCCCCATCTGTAAAATAGGGATAAAAATACCATCTCAATAGGGCTGTTTCGGAGGATTAAATCCATTAATCCACATAAAGCGCTTAAACAGTGCCTGGTTCAATGCATTGCAGCTGCCTTCATCATCTCCATCACCATCATCATCCTCCCCGTCTCCATCACCACCATCACCACCATCATTACCATCATTACCATTATCACCATCACCACCATCATCACCATCACCACTACCATCACCACCATCATCATCATCACAACCATCATCACCATCATCATCATCACCACCAGCACCAGCACCATCATCACCATCACCATCATCACCAT